GGACGGACAGACGTGCAATAGATGCCGTGTGTAAATTGAAAAGATAATACATTTGCAACATAGGTAGTCCAAATGTTTGGAAATGCATGTGTGTATAATAGGAAGATGAATCCACGAGGATATCCATCCAGGACCTATGATCCAGGACCACAGCCACGACTCAAGATCCAGGGCTCGCGATCCAGGACAGAGGAGCGCAGGATCATCCATGACTCCGGATCCCGGCGTATATAGACACCAAAAAGAAAGACATTTGGGGAAGCTGGGTTAATCGGAACATGAGAGTACACAGGTATAGACAGAGAGAAGGAAGAAGTAAGATGTCCCCCGACAAACTAAGCCTATATCAGCAAAACTAGGGGCTGGATCTAATCAGCCCTAACTATAAGCTTTATCAAAAAGGAAGGTCTTAAGCGCACTCTTAAAAACGGATAGGGTGTCTGCCGCCCGAACACAAACTGGAAGCTGATTCCACAAATGTGGAGCTTGATAAGAAAAGGCTCTGGCTCCCATTGTACTTTTAGAGACTCTAGGAACAACCAACAACCCTGCATTCTTGGAACGCAATGCCCTAGTAGGACAGTAGGGTATAATGAGTTCTTTAAGGTAAGATGGCGCCTGCCCATTAAGGGCTTTGTAGGCGAGAAGAAGAATTTTAAATTCTATCCTGTGTTCTATAGGGAGCCAGTGTAAGGCAGCCAGAACAGGAGTAATGTGGTCCCTTTTCCTAACTCTGGTTAGTACACGAGCCGCAGCATTTTGAATCAGCTGAAGCGACTTGACTGACTTCTTGGTACACCCTGATAATAAAGAGTTACAATAATCCAGCCTTGAAGTAACAAATGCATGGACTAGTTTCTCTGCATCGTTTTGAGGCAAGATATGCCTGATTTTTGCAATGTTACGTAGATGGAAGTAGGCGGTCCTTGAAATTGATTTTATGTGGGCGTTAAAGGATAAATCCTGATCAAATATAACACCAAGATTCCTTCATGACTACATCATGCTCTTTGCTCGACAAACCCCGTGATTAGTCCTCAAGCTCTGTGATTGGTTGACCTCCGACTGCATTCCAAATGAAAAAAAACGTTTCGTAAAAGATAAATCATACTTTATTCAGCTAGTGCTTGCTTTACTCTTTGAAAGTCATCACATAAATGCATTGTAATAAATGGTTCGGCTGCATTAAATATTACACATCTGGCTTAGTTCTTTATTTATCTACAGAGATTGGACCTCAAAATAGACCGGAAACTATTCTTTTACCCTTCTGTTTTAATTTCACAATAAAGTTAATAGTAATATTTTGTTTGATATTATAATTTTTTATTAACTAGACAGCTGGGTCATGTTAAGACCATCTTTTCTGTGTTGCTGTGGGTTTTGCCCATCGCTTTTGTGTTACAAATATCAAAACAATATGTGTGGTCGTCTGTGGATAACAAAATATATCCGTCGTAAACTAAACCAGAAACAGCAATATATTTTATTGTGTTAACACTGTAAACTTCACAGCTTTTTAACCCAAACCACCTACTGGTTAAAACACATTATTACACATTTAGAGTAATTCCAATGCAGGTAGATTGTGTTGCTTTTTAATTACTGTTTTTAAATGTCTTTTTCTTAATTAACAAAGGTAATCTGGTGTTTTTGAGTTGATGAGTAGTGGAGATATCACTGTCAAATCAATCGACAGTAAGGAGAATACTTACTTCCGGGTGTACAATTCTCCGTTATTCCATTACATTGCATTTAGCTGACGCTTTTATCCAAAGCGACTTACAATAAGTGCGTTCGTCCAACAAAATACAACTTGAAGAAAACAGAATCATATAAGTACATCAGGTTTCATAGAGCAAAAACATTTCAAGTGCTACTCAACTGGCTTTAGAAAAGCCAGTCCTTTATTAGTATAAAAGTGCTTCGTTAATAGTTCTATCGCTCGAAGTGGAGTCGAAAGAGATGAGTTTTCAGTTTGCGCCGGAAGATGTGCAAGCTATCTGCCGTCCTGATGTCAATGGGGAGCTCATTCCACCATCCTGGAGCCAGGACAGCAAACCCACGTGTTTTCGCCGTTGGGAACTTGGGTCCCCCTCGCAGCGAGGGCGCAGCGAGTCGTTTGGCTGATGCAGAGCGTAGTGCACGCGCTGGGGTGTACGGTTTAACCATGTCCTGGATGTACGAAGGGCCAGATCCATTCGCAGCATGGTAAGCAAGTACCAGTGTCTTGAAGTGGATTCTAGCAGTTACCGGAAGCCAGTGAAGCGAGCGTAGGAGCGGAGTGGTGTGGGAACATTTAGGAAGGTTGAAGACCAGACGAGCCGCTGCATTCTGGATGAGCTGCAGAGGTCGGATGGCACATGCAGGTAGACCAGCCAGGAGGGAGTTGCAGTAGTCTAGGCGTGAGATGACGAGAGCCTGGACCAGAACCTGAGTCGCTTTCTGTGTCAGCTGGGGACGTATCTTCCTGATGTTGTAAAGCGTGTATCTGCAGCAACGGGTTGTAGCAGCGATGTTTGCAGTGAAGGACAGGTTGTTATCTAGGGTCACACCCAGATTCCTTGCAGTCTGAGTCGGGGAAACAACTGAGGTGCCGATGTTGATTGTTAGGTCAAGAGTGGGACAATCTTTTCCCGGAAGGAAGAGCAGCTCAGTCTTGTCAAGGTTGAGTTTGAGGTGATGAGCAGACATCCACTGAGAGATGTCAGCTAGACAAGCAGAGATGCGTGCGACGACCTGGGTCTCTGAGCGGGGAAAGGACAGAATTAATTGGGTGTCATCAGCGTAGCAGTGGTAAGAAAAACCATGCGGGCTAATGACTGATCCGAGCGAGTTTGTGTACAGGGAGAAGAGGAGGGGACCAAGAACAGAGCCCTGAGGGACCCCCGTTATCCAATGGGAATGGACGCTCACATTGCTTTTAAGAGCTGCCGACATAAATGGATGCGGTGCTTCCCTAAGCGTCAAATACCGCCGCCGATGGGAATACATTGCAATCAGTTGAAAGCTCTTTACGTCCGTTTATGAAGCTGAAGGAGCCTCGGCGCGTCACAACTGGACGCCACGGGACCCTGACCAAGCGTCGCTCCTGGACGCTTAGGGAGTGAGAGTGTGTTGAATAAACACTTTGTCATACAATCTAAATGTAATGTTTTTAGCGTTACCTGGTGATTTCAAAGAAAGCTCTCTGGGAAATGTTGACTTACTGTTCGACATGAAGCTAGAAGCTACCTTACAGTACACAGTTGATCCTGAGTCCTGTCAGTTAAAGTGTTTCATAGTTAGCTTAGCTAAGCATCAACCTAGCACTGAAATATATGGATGTTATGTGACAGTATTTCTGAGAAAAAGTCAGCTGAAATGGTGGCATAGTTGCCACTGCTTTACGCGTCGACGTTTGAACGTATTTGCAGCAGTAAATGTGGCTGTTTGGCCACTGACGTTGCCTGAATTTAAATGTGCAACCTCTTTTTGTGACAGATTTTTGCATGAAATTATAATTATTCTGAATGGTATTCCTATTGACAGCTAATTTCTATGTGAACATTATGAGATGGACAGCCAGAGAGAATACATGAAAAACAGTTATGAAATACTTATGACAAAACAAGAATACAGTTTAAAAGGGGAGTGATTTGTAAAATATCCATAAAGAAAAATCTGTTTACAGTTCTGTTTCATATGGGTGTTGAGATATGTATAGATCTCTTAATTTTGCTCTCAAAGTGCACCAGATTGATGCTTTTAACTTAAATATTTAAAAACAAGAGGTTAGGTACACAGTGTTAACATGCCTATTTATACAATATGTGTGCTTATGCTAACATCATAAGACAAAAGTTGGTTCCGTGTTGTGTGTAGTGAGAATACGCTAGAGTGAGGGGGGCCCACAAGCCAAAGCTCGCTTAGGGCCCCCAAAAGTCTAACCCTGGCTCCAACCCCCTCCCTCCCCCCACATCTACAGGTGAAAATTACTTTAGCGACACATTCATCGCAAGAAGTGTAGCAAAAGTCAAGGCCGCAGATTCGTCGATTTATACTGCCACAGAGCAGATTCGTGAAGTTGTAATGACTGATTTGAGAGGTTGTAATAACCAAGTTGCAGTTGTAATGGAACATATATTAAAAATATATATTTTCATCACTAAGTTCATTTTTTTTCTACAAACTACAAAACTTTTCTTTTCTTTCTGTGACTTCAAATTTGGTTCACAGATACGTGGAGATTTTATACAAGTGTAAATGTATGCACATGCTCACATCAGGTTTTACAAGCATTTTGCACCATATCTACCTTCATCACTAATTAAGCTCCAAACAATTTCGGATATAAAGATTACACCAGTGTCATGTAAAGGTTTAACGACATTAAATTGAGCTATACTTGTCAAATATAAAGTGCCACGTATGCTGTCAATGTCTAGAGGATTTAACCAATATTAAGTAAGGAGCGTATTGGTGAAAGTACATGTATAAATAGATACCCAGGCGTGTATGCCTATGTCACTAAATTAAATTAAAAAGCATTGAACTGACATATTTTGTTATTTACTGTAATATGTGTTTTGACATCCTGCTTTTAGTTAGTGGGTCTAATTATTTACCTAAAGAAAATGTTTCTGAAAGCCAGGGGCCCATATGGTCTTTGGTCAATCTTTAACGACCGCACCTAACATACAGTATCTATTTTATTTAGTTGTCTCTTTCTTCACCTTTGCTGTAACAATGTGAATGTCCCCTCTGTGGGATGAATAAAGGAATTCTGATTTCCTCCATTATTTGTGTTTACGTGTAGGCCGTTATTTCCTGTGATTAACCTCCAGGGGGCTCCATATCATTCTTTTTGAATGATTTCAATGTGCTTTGCCCAGCGTGATCTTCACTGGTTTCCTGAAAGCCTACATTATCTCATCTGTACATTGGATGGCGATAGAGGTCTTTGAGACTTTCGCAGGGCGTGTCTTCAACAGACCAGACGCCACCAGTGCCCCCCTTATCATACCATTTAAGCGAAGTGTTTGGAAACGAGAAGTTGGATCGATCACATGGTTTTATTTATTTTACTTGTTAATCTCTACACTCGCCGCTCGCAAAGACAATGCCTTCGATTCAAAGTTTAACGTTGACTTGTGACGCGCTGAATGAGCAGGGGACGTTTTCGGAGGGTGACACTATCTCTGGAAAAGTAACCCTGGCCTTGTTAAAGCAGATCACAGTAGATAGCTTTTTCATTAAAGCAACAGGAGACGCAAACGTACATTGGACGACAAAGAGCGGCGATAAGACCCATTCACACTCTGCTCATAAAAGATATTTCAAACTAAAGCAGTTTTTATTCCAAGAGGCCTCCAAGGGTAGGCGCCACATTTCTTGTTATTTATGCATGCCTTAACCCAGTGTTTTTCTAACGGGGGTACTAGGACCCCTATGGGATACTTGAGTCCTGCATGGATGCAGTCTGCCTCTGTATGCATGTTTGTGAATGGGTGAAGGATGACTTGCACTTTGAGGATTCCTAAAGACTGGATAAAGCCTTAATGTTTATCCAGAGGATGTAGAAATACTCAGATCTTGTACTTCAGTAAAAGTAGAACTACCAGAGTGTAGTAATACTCTGTTACAAGTAAAAGTCCTGTATTCAAAATGTTACTCAAGTAAACATAAAAAAGAATTAGCAGAATAATCCATTTCAGAATAATATTATATGTGTTGATTACAATTATGTGTTTATCTCAACTGGTAAAGGTGCAGCTAGTTTTAGCTAGCTTGTGAATTGAATCCATGTTTAACTAAAGTCCTTTTTAAGTGTTGATTATATTTCACATTATTAATAGAAATCTGTAAAGTAGTATTACATAATAGGCAAAATTAGAACTTTGCCCTATTATGTAATTATAACTTTGCCCTATTATGTATTAATAAAATGTATAGCAAGCATTTCATGGATAAATATATAAATATTAACACTAAAATCAATTTTCCTTTTAGACACTGTACTTCCCCAAGGAATCCATGTCTACAAATTCAGCTTAAAGATTCCACAAGGGTAAGCGCACAAGACAATCAACCAAGACAGGATATTTGCACTTTCACTGTGTTTTTCTTTGCAAACAGGAACACATAGCCAATCTCAGCACATAACTTAATTTGATTCAATTTAAATTATTGATGTTAATTCATTTCAGATTATATAACAATTATTCGGCTGGTTCTCTATTTCAGAAGCGTGCCTTCATCCTTCAAGGGACCTCATGGAAAGATTGTCTACAAGCTGGAAGCCAAGCTGTCCAGGAGTTGGAGGATGGACCAGACAGTGGAACAGAAAATACTGTTTGTCTCCAGGTGTTATCCCAACCTTCATTCTCTGATGGTGTGTAAAAAATGATACTTAGATATACAAATATCAGGTATTGTTATTGGCATCGGTACTGAAAAGATGTCACAGTCGACAGTCATTTTCTCGAACACAGCATTTGTCATCGGGGGTGAAACAGAGAAGATAAAATCAAAATATAGGTATTACACCACATTCTATGTTATTCCTTACTATATCTAGCAATGTAGATAGTCCTACAGTTTAGGGATATCCAGCTAGGATTATATATTCCACCACTACCCAACAATAGTGATGCACTTCATTTGGAGGGTTCCAGGTTCAAGCTATTGTGCACAGCAAGCTTGCTCACTGGTTTGGCTTACTAAGACACATATATATAGAAAAGAGTTATCGTAAATGGCATGAGCTTCACATGATAAGTCAAAACTTCTGCTTTGATAAATGTCATCTGGAAATGGGATTTAAATTGGTCCTGCTTGAATTTCAATTAAAAATGTTTTTGCAACGTGTTTACGTAAGTTCTTCAGTAGAAATCTTTTCCAGTTGAAATTGCTCACCATGTACAGTAATGACATAATGTGTGTGTGTACAGTAAACAATCATATTCACAGGAAATGTGAGTGACACACAGTCCTCGTCCCAAGGACTGAAACACTAAGTCATGCAATGTATTGGAAGTGGATCAGAAGTAATAATTGATATAGTTTATTGTGTTCTAGTTGCCCCAAATTGGTTCAACAAAGAAAGAGATGGGACTTTTCTCCAAAGGACAAGCAGACATGGAAGTCACGATTGACAGGATGGCCTACGCCCCAGGTAATAAACAATCTCCTTCAAACAGGGTGGTTCAAGTCATGGAAAGTGTTCCTCTCTATGATAAATGCAGAAAACCATTTATCACAGACTTGCAAAACAGGGAATTATTTTTAATAAAATAAAGTACTGGTGATATTATAGTTGAATTGTCATATCCTAAGTGTTACTATTGCCAACAAGAACAATATCCAGGGAACTGTAGTAGGTTTGTTTCACAACAGACATGTTGACATGTAATTCCAGGGAAAGCACTTGTGTAACAAATGGCATTAATAACAGCTGCTTACACCTGTGCGCTTGACAATTTAAAACGTCTGCCATTAAATTAGTCTGTTGTAAGTGATGGTTTTAGTAAAAAAAAAAGTTTCTAAAAATAATGTTTTGATTAAAGTAATTTGAAGGAAGTAGCCTAATCCCTCTGATTTAAGGAATTGATCAGACAAAGGTTTCCAATAGCATGAATAAAATAATAAGTGGGTGGGGTTTAGCTTTTTAACTCTGTTGATGGATAAGTTGTGTCTCACAGGCAGAGATGGGGTCATTACTAAAAAAAAGTAATATATTACATATTACATATTTCTTTTAAAAAAAGTAATATATTACACTACTTCGTTACTCTCTACATAAAGTAACTAGTTACTTTACTCGTTACTTTACTCGCAGGGCCGGCCCGCCCCTCCCTACAGGCAGATCACGCAGACTGCGGCGCACCTACAGTGTAAGCGCGCCACAGTTTTGCCTCGGCGAGACTCCACTTGCACCCCCAATTACTATTGCATCAAGGAAGACATAACACAAGTCTTTCTTTTTATATGCTCTAAAATAGGCTACCAGCTTACAAGCTAACAGTCTGTGAAACGTCAAGACACTAATTAATTAAACCAGTTCAAGACGCATTATTCTTATCATTCTTTATGAGCGCAGTAACGGTAAGGTATCTAATTACTTATGTATTTAGTATTCCATAACTTAGTAACAGAGATGGTCAAACTAAAGTGGTAGAGACATGGCAGAATTCCTACAATGAAGCGGGACATTGAACTGTTCACCCGTGAGAGGGCGATCAACAAAAGAGAGCGAGCGGCCCCGTTGAGGGAGTTTACAGATGAAAAGACTCAGCCATGTTTATGCAGCACTGCACCTGGAGATGTGGTCTCGCAAATCGCGCAGATTACATAGGCAGGCCCGCCTTAACCTGCCATCAGGCCCTGGGGCTGATAGGTTTTGTAGGCCCCCTATTTAAACAACAAATCAAAGTCATTTATAGCCTCGGCAGGCTCTGTGATCGCACTTCTCCACTCTGCTCTACGCGCGCCTGGTCCTCTCCTCCAGATGAGTGGCGTATCGGACCTCCCTCGTGTATTTTTCTGGTTGCCGTTGGCTCCCCTCCACGTAGCAAGTCCTCGCCGTCCTCTCCATCTCCTCCAACATCCCTCCTGTCTGTTTTTCCTCTCCCGCTACTCCATCGCTATCAGAACCAGACGTCCTACTTGGCTCCGAGGCCCCACGGCCGGCACCGCTACTGCTCGGTACAGCACTCATCTGTCCTCCTTCCTCCTCATCCTGGCCTACAGGTTTAAAACAACCTGTAAGCTTCGGCATTTTTTGTAATAGCTGCTTGTCTCGAAACTCCTTTTCCCTCAACAATTTCCTTTCCCGAGCGCCACTCTCAAACTTTTTCTTCTCAAACTTTTTCTCCGAAACAACCTTCATCTGTCACTCAATCACTCGCAATTTGAATAAGTCACATGTGAAACATATTCTCATTCTGATTCGCTGTGAAGTGGTGCCCACTGACTGTTACGGAGTCATCATTTTTGAGAAAAATCTCTGGAATCCATCGATCTGATTGATTAGCGGAGCAAATGATCAAAATACTAAGGAGGGAAGATATTTTCGTTTGGATTACTGGTCTGGGGGAAGCTCACGTGTGTGTATACGTGTGTGTTTGTGTATTTTTGCGTTTGTGTGTATTGTGTTTGTTTCCCGGGGAAAACACTCACGAGAAACACCGGCTGTTGTTATGCCTGCTGTGACGTCAAGTTACTCCGTTCTCCGCTTGTAATTATGCCGTTACAAGCTTCAAAGTTGTATTTATCATCTGAATTTGCCTAAACAAGTTTAATATTCTGAAAGCCAAGACTTTGTTTATTTGAAACCAGATGAAAACAAACTGTAACAGACCCTGCCGTGTTATCTATGATTACTATACACTTACATTCATAATGTCAGCGGAGGGAGGGGGAGTGAGTGGCGAGTGAGAGCTGTCATCTTCCCTTTACAAGCTTCAAAAATGTATTTATCGTGTGATTTTGGAAATAAAAGTTTCATATTCTGAAAGCCAAGACTTTGTTTATTTAAATGTTTTTTAAAAACATCCGAAATAAAAAACGTTTTCTTTAAAAAAAATGTTAAACTTTTTTATTGGCTCATGATGAGTGTGATTATTTTATAAAAGTAACGAAGTAACGCGTGTCGGGGCAATGTTAGTGTGATTACTGTATTAGTAAAGTAATGCGCTACACTCCGTTAACACGTTACTCTCAACTCTGCTCACAGGCATAACAATAAACTGCCTTCATATGAGACACACTCTTTAGCACAGTGCATTGTTCTATGCGGCAATGAATACAAAATGAACAATACATGTTATGTTGTTTTCCTCATAGGTGAAACTATCACAGTTTTGGCCAAAATAAACAATTCCTCGTCCAGTGAGATGACACCCAAATTCCATTTGGGCAAGAAGGTGATCTACCGTGCCAGCGGTAGTACCAAACATGAGGAGTGCACTATCATCAAAGTGGTCGAAAACCGTATTCAAGCCCATACAGAGCTGGAAGTCAGGTGTAGAATGAAGATTCCTCTCGATCAGATAACAACTATCCAGAATTGTGACATCCTCTCAGTGGAATATCATTTAAAGGTAGGCAACAGTGTATCTTTATTGTAAAGAATAACAAGCTGCCTTAAGAAATTGTCAATTAAGTCCTAATTAAGCTGTCATATTTTTCTTAGGTGTATCTGGACATCAGATTTGCCTTCGATCCAGAGGTCCTCTTCCCATTGGTCGTTGTTCCTTTAGGCTTTGCTCCTGTCCCTCAGCCTGGTGTGGCTGCAGGTCCTTATCCAGCGGGAGCTGTTGGGGGCCCAAGCAACAGCGACTTCCCTCCTCCTGCAGTGTCCAGGCATCCTTATCCTGTCTCCCCATCCTCAGGCAGTTCTGGAAACCCAGGAGCCCCAATGTATTCAGCACCACCACCACCTGTGTACCCAGGTAACCCAATGGTGTTTCCTTGTCCACCAAGTGTTTACCCTGCTCAGCCGGCACATGTGAGTGGGGGCTACAACAACCAAGTACCTGAGATACCTTTTCCGTATGGAACTCCATTTTCATCTTCTGTGATTCACCCTCCGCCATCTGCCCCAACATTTCAAACACCCCCAGCTGCCCCAGCGATCCACCTACCCCCATCTCTTCCAGTGATCCACCCACCCCCATCTCTCGCAGAGTTCAACCTACCCCCTTCTTATTCACCCTTCAATGTATCCCCAACGGCTCCATCGTACAACCTGGGGCCTTCTGCACCAATGATGAACACAGACTTCCTGGGTCAATCGGATGAAGCTCCTCCAGCATATACACTCCTTTTCCCCTCCACTACTACTGACAAATCAGTTGCAAAATAATAGTATGATTGCTCGATGACTGGATTGTTTTTTTTTTAAAACTAATAGATAGTTCAAATGTTTAATCCGGTTACCTAATTCGTGTCTTTATTTTTGTTGTTGATTACTAAGCATGAATGTGAGATTGAAAAGGCATTGTGTGCAACATTAACTTTTTGCATGTAAAAAAGTATACCCAAAATATCACTTATGCATTGTATGTGATGGTTGTGTGATGGTCAATTCAGAATGATCATTAGTGTTGCCAGCTGCTAACATAATTACTTCAGTATTGACTGTGTATTTCACGTGCCTTGTTTAACTCAGGTGTCTTTAACTGATCAATCTTTCAGTTGTATTGTTTATAGGCTACAGTGTTTCCCTTAGGTTTACTGCCTTGGCAGGGTGCTGCCGAAACTTTTTGGGACACCCAAAAAAAATGTATCCTCTGGAGCAGAGAGAGGAGCTGTGGATTATTGTTATTGATATCGTACAGTAACCAAGTATTTGTACATTAAAAAGTAATAAAGTACAGTGTTACACTGTACTGTATTACTTTTATTCAAACTGTATTCCCTTCTTATCATGTAGCCTACACTTCTTCCTTTCATTGATACATTTAAATCACCTGACTGTTGGGTATTTCTATATTACTTTGTAAGAGTAAACCCCAGCTCGGTTCAAATATACCAAAACCCAGTGAACAAAGATAACAGTACTCGAGTTTCAAGTTTACTTGCTGCAAGGAGAATCAGCGAGTGACAGGTCATGTCAACTCCAAAACCAACTCTGCTCCTCTTCTCTCAGTGCAGTCTCTTTATTACAAAAATACAGTTACAAATCATGCATGAGGAAGTGTATGTAACCAACGGCTTTATTTGTCAATGGGAGTCTTGTGACTCGCAATCATGTGTGTGTGTGTGTGTATGGTCCACAGAAAAGGGGAACAGACTATTCTCTGTTCCTCTTTTCTGACTATGGTCTCTTTACAACATAAAATGACAACATATTATGAAAACACGTTTATCCTTCAATAAACTCTAACACTGACTACAGCATATAACATACCTGCTGCAACCCTGTGCTGTTGCTGCTGCTTCTCTCTGCCTCATCCTCTATTGCTGGAAGCAGCTCCACCTCTTCTGATCTCTGATATGAAAGCAATCGTGTTATGATCATATTGAGCTATTGGTGTGAGTGCTAAGTGGCAATTTGTTGAGTCACTGCAGTTAAATGCCGGTAGCATCAAGCTAGCAAATCCTGCATTAGCCTCACATCAACAGGTGTAGAGTAGACAGAACATCCAATTATCCTGAGCTAAAAATAAATAAAAAACACCTTGAATTTCAGGCGGGGCTACGTTGGCAGGGCGCAGCGCCCCGCTAAGACAATGGGGGAAACACTGGGCTACATACTCTATCTGCCTCACTTATGTTTGGAAGCTATTTGAATAAACTGGATAGCTTAGAGGTAAAATATAGGCCTGAATGTTCTTTGTATTTTACAATCTGTCAATTTTATACCAGAAAACATGTTTTCCTAATAAATACCCAATTCTTTGCAAACCTGATTTGTAATATTCTCAAACTGCCATTTTCTTCCCTGTAGATTTCAATAAAGACTTTTACATATTTAATATGAGTGTGAACACTAAATTGTATTCTGTTCTATATTTTCAAGTCTAAGCCACAAGGCAGCACAACACTTATCTCCTGCATCTGATACCTCTCATATTAACATGACATACCTATATTTTTGTATTTATAGATAAACCATTTGAAATTTCACTTATTCTCATTTTTAAACATTATGTATTTTCATTTAGTAATATTGTACAGTATATAAACCTCTACACACTACAACAGCAAATTTAAATATAATACAAATAAATAAAAAAATGGGTTGACTAGAATCAGATCTATACGAAAGGCCTTAGTACGTGTCCATGTACAATATAAAATAGATAAAAACAAAGGGTGACATAATTATCAAGTTCCAGTGTCTCTTTATGACCTCAAACACATTGCCTGTGGCTGCCCATCACTTTCAATACCATTCTCTCAGGACCACTTCAAAACATATTACATGGAAATGTCCAATGCAAAATCTACCCAACATCACAAAAAGCAGTATTTGAGATCAGTCTGTACAGATTATGAAATAAAGCTTTATTCTTGTTTATTAACAACTTGATTCCAGTTTTGTAATTTCACGAATATCTAATAATTATATAATTACTAATATTATTGAACCTATATATTTTAAGATAACGTTATTTATAGGGCACTTAAGTGGTGTAAAACCTGTATATCTGATTGTGTATGTTGTTGTAATACCTGGTTTGTTTAACAGCATGTTGTATTAAAGGTTTTAACATCATGGAGCCACACCTTTAATAACCTGAGCGCTGAAACCAGGGGAGGGAATTTAAGCTGCGCCCATTTTCAGCTGCACAGTAGCCCACACAATTTGTAGGCTACTATTGGCCAGTTGACAGATTCACTGAACACTATAAAACCCATAATCCTCCCCTTCCTGTAGTCACACCTGTGGTAAACAGAGCCCGTTTTACCGATCCAAAATGTCTCCGATTAAGGACTTCATTGTATCATACGAAGCTTCCAACGAGAAAGGATTTATTTCTCAAGGAGACACTATCGCAGGCACAGTCACTTTCACTTTGTCTAAAGAAACCGTATTGAAGGTGCTGGTGGTGAAAGTCAAAGGGAACGCTCGTGTACACTGGACAGAGGGAACCGGAGATAGACGGAAATCGCGCACTGCGCACAGGAGATACCTCAAACTCAAAGAGTACTTAGTGCCAGAAAATGACAAAGGTAGGCAATATAAATGCGTTGGCCTTTTGATTTTCGCAACTTGTCTCAACACTTGGATGTAATTGATGTTATTTTAATATTATGGGTGTTAGTTTGATAGATCTATTATGTGTTAGGGTTGATATATTGGCCTACCTGTATTGTTTTTAATATTGGTAATCTCTGCACTGGTTGCTTCTCATATGAATGATTTACCTGCAAATTACACTGCCATTACTTATATAGATAAGCTGTTTAAGAAAATATAATAGCTAATAGCCCTACTTTTCCCCCCCATTGCTGACAATGACAGGTAGCCTAAAAATGCATCTTGAATGAATGTTGTCTTATGTGTACCATATACTTTATTATGCTTTATATTTTATAAATCTACACATTTTGACCTACTGCAAATAAACAGAAATGGATAGGGCTACACAGGAACTTCCTGGAACCACCCAAATCCCTCAATCTAATACACATGCACAAAGTATAGCCTAAATATGCTAAATAAAGCCTCTGTCATTTGTCAGGTCTCTACAAAACGTGTAAATCAATCTCACTTATTTTGCAGGCACTGCACTCCCAAAAGGGGCCAATTGCTTTAAGTTCAGGTTCACAATCCCACAGGAGTGAGTACACATTACTAGCATATAGCATACTGTGTCATTGTTTGCTTTTGACCAATTACTGCATCTTGTTCTGTCTTACAGGGACATGCCGTCATCCTTTAAGGGGTTTCATGGAAGAATTGTCTACATGCTTGAAGCAAAGATGTCCAGGAGCTGGCGTCCATCTTCTGTAGTCCAGCAAGAGCTCAAGTTTATGTCAAAGTCCTTGTCACACCCTGGCTCTGTAATGGTAAATGGAACCCTAATAAAACATGCTATGAATTTGATCCACTATTTAGACTTTCTAGAGGAGTTGTGTTTTACACATGAAGTCTAGAATGGAGAAAATTCAGTTTAATACATTATGGAGAGTTTTCCCATTATGATATGTAACATTTGAGGAATCAGGATGGCCTAATCTAAAGGGAAACAGCAAGATACATTTTTCAACTGAATTTATAATTTCCACTATATGAGGCATTCAGTTAATATGAAATCATGTTTGTCTGTATTATTTGTTCTAGTGTCCCCAGTCTGGTTCAGTGGAAAAAGACAAAGGAAAGGTGCAAATGTCTGCTACCGTTAACATGAAGGTTTGCTCTCCAGGTAAAATCACCAGTTTAATACAGTATGTATGTATGTGTAATTTTTTTTTTGTGGTCATCTTATTTTACAAAGGAACATTTGCATAATCAGATGTTATGATTTGTTTTTGATAGGTGACACTTTAACTGTTGTTGCCAAAATCCGCAACTCTTCGTCCAAAAAATTGAAGCCCAAAGTCAGTTTACAGCAGAGAATAGTGTACCGCGCCGAAGCCTGCACTGATGTCAGCGACCTAAGTCTGTACAAAATGGAGGGGGACACTATCACATCGGGCTCAGAGGAAACTTTCTCATGCCAAGTGAAGATTCCTGGCGATGCAAATTGCACCATCCAAAACTGTGAAATCCTCTCAGTTGAGCATTACGTCAAGGTGTGTAAAAGGTCCTGTTGCACTTAATTAATTGCATTAATGACTTGCTTTTGTTTGCAAATATTGGTGGTAAAGCAAGTGGAGCACCGTCAATTATTGTCTAACATCACACAATTCAACAAAATTAGAAATGTAAAACAACACACCAGCTTATGTATACATTTTTATAGTATAATCCAATAATAGTGTTTATAGTCAGTCAGACTGCATGATCAACTTAATAAATAGTTCCATAAATATTTTTTTATTAAAAAACTCTCTGATGTAGACAGATTTTACTTCTTGTTTTGTTTCTGTTTCCAAGGTGTACTTGGACATCAGCTTTGCCATTGACCCTGAAGTGAAGTTTCCACTGGTCATCATTCATTCAAGCTTGGCTGCCCTTCAATCTGGTCAGGCTGTGGGGCCTTACCCGGCTGGGGTTTTTGGGGCCCCAACTTACACCGACTTCCCTCCCCCTGCCTTCCCACCGGGACCCTACCCTGTACTAGCAGGCCCAGGTGCTTATGGGTACCCAGCACCAGATCCCAGTCAACATGCAAACATGACAAGTGGCTACAATAACCAGTGGCCACAACCTGCTGCTCCATATGGTTTTTCAAATGCTGCTTCACCTCCGTTTCAGCAGGGTACAGAACCTCCACCCTACATGTCAATTTTCTCCCCTCCTCAGGACGACTTAGGTAGGACTGGGTCCGATTATAAAAACCAAGCTTCAAAAGGAAAACAACAAAACTAGTACAAAAAGACTAGCTACCTCAGTAAGAGTTGTTCTTTTCTTCAGTGCTGTATATGTGAAAAACAATTTCATTTGTAAAGAGTGTGTTCTGATCTACAGCAGAGCCAAAATAACCTGTTTTGTGTGTTTGTAACTGGGGTGGGGTGCTGCTACCTTTATCTTTGACTGTCCCTTTCAGAAACCAGACTTATGTTTAAATATCTCAAATGTACTCCTGCACTAAATGTCTAGCTAATATCAGCAATAAAGCATTCTAACTTTAACCATTGTGGGACGGCAGTATTTGTTCAGTCGTTGATGGTGATTTTCCATTTGTTTCATGCAAAAAGGGAAGTTCTGTAACAAACGATAAAGGAAGCTCACATACATTGGACAGACAAAAGGGGTGAGATCATACAGTGCGCACAAAACATACTTCAGACTGATTCACTCAAATGGTTGGCCATATGTATGTGTTGGCCTGTGATTTACTTTCTCATATGAACACTAGACACTTTGTCCAAATCAATAATTTAAATGTTGTTTAAAAAATATGGCTATTGTTTTCTTCCGCATTCGACTACAAGTAAGTACAATACCCAGTATTGAGAAGTTTTGTTTTGAAACTAACATTTTAACTTAGCCATGTTGGTTTTCAAAAAGCTGACTTTTCAAAAGTCACTTTTGAGTTATCTGTTCTGGTTTACAAATGACTGTAAGGGTTACAGGAAAACAGGAAATTCCAGTTTTATGTTGGCATTTCAATGGCCTTGACTGTTAAATGTCATTGACTTCCATTTTGTTATTTCATATTTATTACAATAACAATACATATTGTTAGATATTGTTTTTGAATGATTCTAAGTCCACTGTGTCAGGGAATAATTTTGCCCTACATGTTTACCTTTTGCCCTCTGACGCAGCTGACGAACCTTGAGCAGCCGTTATCTCCCTTAAGGAGGAGCTGCCCTAGCAAGTTGTTGTTGTTAATAGTTTATGGCCGGGCAACTCTCGGTTTGATTGATTGATTGAAAAGTTTATTAACAGCTTGTATATTGGGTACAGTACAGTACAGCTCAAAACATACAATTGTTAAGGGGATGCAGACCAGAGAAAGACTTTCATCTTGTTTACATCAGGGTCACCCATTTCCAATTCATCATATCATTTAAGACATATAAGACATATTTGACATACAGATGGCTTATTTACAATTTACATACAGGTGGTTTTTTACATACAGATTGCTTATTTACAATTTTCATTTTAGATTTTGTTCTAATACATCCTAACCGGACATTTAAGACATACCAAGTCTACAGATATACAGTTAGTAACAGTCTAAAATGCGAGTATATACATAGATGGGGGGGGGAAGCTGTCCATTGTACGACAGGTTGAGATTTGTACCATTACCGGGGCCAGTTTTGCAATGCTCTCCCCCGAAGGTGCTCTTTAAGAGAGGTTTTGAAGGTAAGTATAGTTTTACTTTCCTTTACAGTTGTGGGAAGAGCATTCCACCTTGATGTGGCATAATTGCGAAACGTGTATTCCCCCTTTTTTGTGCCAAATCTGGGTTTCACATGATTTGTGGAGCTCCCTCTGGTGTTATGATCATGGTATTCCTTGACCTTTGGGAAGAATTTTGACATGTACATGGGTACCATAGAGGTGTAGTGGATCTTGTAGACCAGGCCCATTGCAAGTAGCTGTACTCTGTCGTCTACTCTAAGCCATCCTAGCTTGTCAAAGTGGGCAGAGGTGAGGTGGGTTCTAGATGAAAGGTCAAGCAGTAGTCTGACCAGTTTATTTTTGCGATGTTTGAAGTTTTATTTTTAGCGCCTTGGAGGTGCTATGGTACCATGACGTGCAAGCATAGTCATAGTACCCTTGAATGAGTGCTCCTGCCAGAGTTTTCAGGGTGTTTTTGTTTACCAGAGAGGAGATCCGGTCAGAGATAGTTATTGTTGTGGGACACCTGGAACACATCATTCTCGAGGTGTAGATGACCCCGAGTCATAACCGATAACTAAAGTTGATTCAGTGTCCTCAGCTGTTTAGTCCATCTATTGAAGAACATTTACACTCCAAACTAGTTCAAACCTCGAACTACAGTAGAGTTCTTGAGAATTGATTGTGGCATCTCAACCGTGTGGTCAACTCGTGGCCCGTGATATGTCTTATGAATTCTCCGGTCGAATCTCCAAATAAACTGTCAGTGTTTGCCATCAAAGCTCCAGCTCTCCTCGTGTCTCTCTTTGAGTCCTGACTCCAATTACTTCAGAAGTTTCCCCACACACTAAATGTGTTTATTTGGATAAAGGTTTACCACATGCTCTGTGGTGCATCATTAAAGAGAAAAACATCATGTGACCATGCCGCCCTGAAAGCTGTCCCATTCCTCACAGTTACAAATGGGCAATCCTATTCAGCCTGGGACAATGTTTTCTACGTATAACAGATTTATGTTCTTACATCTAATTGGTAGTCCATGGAGTTGTAGCACACTGGTTTAAACACATTTAATTCCTGCCATAATGGAAAACAAGGAATGTCTATGAGTTGTTGATCTAACAAAAAGACAGTAACAGAATATGCAAAACAGCAACCTAATTTGCATAAACAGTGGAAAACAGGAATGTATTTTTTCATCTCAAAACCTTGTTACAGTGAAAGAGAAGAAATAAAAATGGGCAATCAAAGTTATCTTTGGAAAAATACTCAGAGCCTGTCTGCTACTTAAGTAAAACTACTAATACCACACTTAAAAAATAATTTAATACAAGTAAAAGTATTTAGGTACATTTAACTTAAAAGTACCCAAGTTCTATAAGCCAAGTGAACTCAAGTATCAAATGTAAAAGTACAGATTTTGCAGGATCGGTCTTCTAAAAAATGTGTATTATTATATTATTCTGTTTTTATTTTTAGAAAATACTTATTACTTTTTAATGCTGTAATTTGACATTTTGGATACTTTGTAGTGGTAGGCCTATATAAATATGTAATTTGTATAAAAAGTACCCACTACAAGAGTCAAATAAATGTAGTGTACAAAATACGATATTTGTTTTTGAGATGTAGTAGAAGTTTAAAGTAGCATAACATTTGCTCCCAAGCTGTTCCCAAGTTCCCCAAACTACACTTCAGTACAGTGCTTGAGTAAATTTACTTAGTTACATTCCACCAGAACGTAAACAATGCATTCTCCCTGGACAATAACAGTGTATTTCAAAGGAATTCTGCATGTCCCCCAAAGACTGAGATGTCCCTCCGTAGAGTAATGGGGAGGAAGGCACGGATCCTCTATGGATCTATCCAAGTGATAGATGCATACAGGGAGGGTGCATAAACCTTTGTTCCCGCCCACTTGCACTTGCTACTGTTGCTGAATAGATGCAGGCTGTATTGCCACTGAAGACCCCAAACTATCTGTGCCTGTGACAGTCGCCATCACCATGGGAAGAATGCTGCTGTGTGTCCATTTGCTCGTCTTCGTAATTTACAAAGGTAATGTTAAGAAAGTTAACCTTTAGCTTGCAGGTAGGCCTACTACTGAACTTTTTAACGCAGTTAGTTGTGTGATTTATATTCTAGATTACTAAACCGAGAAGAAAGCGATTCCAATCCAAGGAAAAGGGTCATTTTCACCTGCAGTCGAAATAGTTGCGTTGTGTTTATCGTGTCAACACTTCCCAAGTCTGAGCTAACGTTAGCTAGCTAGAGTTATCTTTGTTGACAAAAACTAAACCCGTTTAGTCAACGTTAAATCGTCTTTCCTGTATCTTTCAGAAGAAGAATGTAGTGATGTAAGTGAGCTACGAGTGGATTTATCGCTACTTAAATACATACAATGTGTTGAAGTAGGCCAGAGGTAGAAGAAGTAGGACTCTACTACTAATGTGTTTATCGCAGCTCGTAGGCTACAGGTGCAGCCAGTTTCATTTACTTTGTATGTTGTGAATGTTCCTCCGGGTAAAGTCTTGATTATATTTCCTATCAATAATTGAAATATGTAAGGTAACTAAAGGTGTAACGATAATGTAGTGGAGTAAAACTACATGATTTACCTCTGAATTATAGGGAGGTGGAACACGTTTCTAAAAATGTTGGTGGGTGACATTACCTGGCTGAGAGGTAGCCTATATGAGTTGTAATACTATTTTTAAACAATGCTTTTTGTTTAATGTCCCTTCCACAGAGGCGTCTGGCTTGAAAATTCAGAACAAGCTGCTGGGTAAATGTCTGCAGGTTCAGGAAGGATCTTCGGGAGGGAGAGTATCTCTGGGTGAATGCAGCCCATTTTCAGCCTTACAGGAATGGCGCTGGCTCCCACAGAGCCAGGCTCTAAGCAACCACCACACCGGGGAGTGTCTGACTGCACCTGGAGAGCAGTATGAAGGTGTGCGCCTGCAGTCCTGCGTCTTTCTCGCTGAAATTGGCAAAGCTGCTGCTGGAGAGGCAGTGGAGGATATAGGCAGAGAGGCAAGCAACCAGGCGTGGTCCTGTTCCAAGAGGGGCCACCTCACTTTGATGGGGAGGGGGCTGCACCTGAGTGCCACACAAGAATCCACTTTGGTCTTTCTTTCAAGGGAACATAAGCAGGTAAGAATGGTATAACAGGAGGAGGACCTGCTCCATGAGACAAAACATCTGATGTTAGTACATTAATTATATTACTTATTGCAAATTGGGAAGAAATATTGATATCTTATAACAAACCCTCTCTATACCAAGAGATTAAACCTAAAATATGTCTAATCCAGCCCGATTTTTTTCTGCCTCGTTTTATTTACAAGCCTGGCAGCAGGTGGCGGACACTTGACAACCAGACATTGTGCAAAGGGAGAGACATCAAACACAACCAACACCAATTTCACCACAACCTGGGGAAATCATTGGAACACAGGATTGTTCCAAGTGCCATGTCTGATATACGCAGACAGGCTGAACCATGTAAGGACCTAAAAGTATCTCACTAACAGTAGTTTAGTGTGTTGTCTTCTAACATTATGTGACTGATAAAAGTGGCAAAAACCTCCGTAAAGAGATAACCAGCGACTAGATAAAACCCTCCTTTGTTACTAATTTTGGAACTAGGCTACTTGACACTATTTTCAATTATATGAGTTCAAAGCCAGAGTTTCCGTTAGCCGGTAATTACCGGACTATGACCGGTAAAATATGCTGAAGACCGTCAAATCTCTCTCAAAATGTCGCTTATTGTTTAGGTGTCCATTGATACGCAGGCAATCATATCATTAGCTAGAACTAGCAACAGTAG